AGCATTTTAAGTTACACTTCAAGTTTGTATTTCAAACAAAGCTTTGGTAAGCTGCAAAAAAAAAAATGTTTTTTGCGTCTTTCCCCAGTAGTAAAAATTTGAAGTCTCATAATTTGAAAGCTTTTTCTTTACCTTCTGATAAGTGTTACTAAGTTCTCAAAGCAACATGTGTTGTTCCTTTAGGATTGTTCAAACTTTTTGTGAATTAATCATCTATCAAGAACCTCTAGCTTGGATAGGGTTAGGTTTTTTCCTGACAACTACTTTTTATCTCAAAATTATTGCAGTTACTTGAGTTATTTCACAGCTCTTTATTCCACTCTGTTCATCTTATGGATTTCTAAAGCTTAAAAGTGGAGATAGTTTGCACTATAACTGTACAGTGAGAGAACTGTATTTCACTTTCCTCAGCAGCCTGCCATCACCTAAAACCATTTTAGCTGCTCAAAAATGATTTACCTTTAAGTAGAGAGAGCATGGTGACTTTCACCCAGAAAATGAATTATTTCAAAGAAGTCAGGTTCACTTTTTTGTGGTTTTGTTTTCCTACCAGAGAACAGGGAAAAATAAAAACTCACTTGCCACCTTAATTGAGATATATTCCAAGTGCTATTTTTGCCTGCTCAATATAGTACCCAAGTTACAAGGTAATGTGAAAGAACAGTAAAAAGTAAAATGCTGCAATTGCCCTGTAATGAGGCACTTAAAGTGTTTACAGTTGAGATTTGTACAAGCCAGGGAGTAAATGTGAAGTTAAAGGTCTCACAGCAATATTAATTCAGCTGTTTGAATTCAGTATTTTGGGGTTTCATTGTAAGAAACTGAGTCCAGCAGCTCCTTTATTCTGTGCTGCCCCTGCTGCTGTGTGGGCTGGGAGAGGTGTCAGCCAGCCCTGCCTCAGGCTGTGCAGAATTCAGCTGGAATCCTGTTTTCCCACTGGCACAAACCAGGTAAGACAGGATGCAAAGAGGTGGCAGCATCAATCCAACATCCTGCCTTCAGTCCCTTGCTCCACAAAGCACAGGTCAGTGTGCAGGACCCAGCTCTGTTCAGCTGTTTCATGCTGGTAGATGCACTTGGATTCTTCACACATTGTCAAAAAGAAAAACCCAGTCTGTTTGTGGTAGAACACAGATCTGCAGCTGAAACCTGTGTGTAAACTCCTGGAAATACTGCAGAGTCTTAAGCAAAACCAAAGCCTGTGATATGGTGGATCTGATCTTTATTTGCTCTTTTAAACCACTTTTATTTCATGTTGAGAATGAACAGCTTTGCTATCTGTTTTGATATCTGAGGCTTGATATTTCCCAACAGTCACTGCACCAGCTTTGCCACCTCTGCCAAATTATGAGGGGAATAGGAGAATTATGTTCTTGCTTCTTGCTGATTTCAGTCTTTCCCTGTTACCTCTGGAGCCTCACTGAGGAGACTAAGGGGATGCTTAGGAGAATTAAGGTCACATTCACTTGCATGTTTGTGTTGTTGATCCATTGGGTTTTGCAATTTATTCAGTAAATAAGGATAGGAAATCCTCCTAATACATTCTGCAAACCTGGATATCTCCTTCTCTTAGTCCCGGCTTTGGAAACACAGTTTTTTTTTATTGAACAGACAATACAATCAAAGCTTTGGCTCAGTTTCTTTTTATTAATTCCTCAGACTGCGGCAGCCAGAAATTCCACTTCAAAGCAGCTCCTGAATTTGTTTTGCAAAATGCAGCCACACAGCTTTTGTCAACCCCAGATTTGCCCTTTTTATTTTTTTTTTTTTCTTTGCTTAACATCATTAAAAATATGAGGGCTTTTTTTATTGAATATATCCAGGATCCAAGAGACAGCACTTTGAAAGAAACTTCACATTAGTACTTGCCAACTGTGTGGGCTTTCCTTTAATTATAAAGGATGCAGCTCCTGAAGTAATCATTCCTGATTTTCCTGTTTTGCACTAGCCCATTAAAACTAGATTAAGCTACAGAGGTGATCCTTCCATAACAGGGAGATGATTTGATTTCTTTACTGGGAGTATTTAATCCCTGCAATGCAGAGGAACTTGAGTTTTTTAAAATATCTTTATTTTTGACTGACTTTTTGCCCCTTCCAGAGCAAGGACTCCAGTTTTTTCAAGGGAGGTGCTTCTGGCAGTGCTGCTCTATGGACAGGGATCTGGTGAAGGCAGAGGTTTTTCACCCTAGGCTGGGCAGAATGAGTCACTCACTGCTGCATTTCTCACTGCTGCTTGCTGGGTGCTGCCACAGGCTGTGAGGAGAAGCTCTGAGCTCAGCACTCAGCAATAGGAGGTTTAGGCTGGGTAGGATTTTAAGTTTTTAGTTAGAGCTGGTCCCAAATCAGGCCAAGCTTGACCTTTGCATCTGCTGCCCATTCTTTGAAAGCATTGTTTGCAGGGGAGAGAATTGTGACAGTTTGTGCAAGTAAAAAACCATCTAATTCTGAAATCCAGCATCTCCAGCCTGATCCCAGCACTGGAGCTGGTGGCCACAGCTGTCCCTTTGCTCCTGCTCAGGTCGGTGTTTGTAAGGAATTCCTCACCTCCCAGGTGCTACAGGAACCTGAAGGGAGGCATGAAAGCAGCCCAGATATTTCACTGCTGCTGTTAGGAAGATGGAAACCTTCAGGGTTTCCCAGGGAATGGCCTGATTTGCTGCAGTGAAAACATCCAGTTTAAGGGTAATGAAACTTAAGAATAGGCTGCAGACAGATTTGGAATCTCATCATTGGTTTTGTCAGAATCACTTGGGCAGTGTTCCTCAGGGATGGTCCAACCCCCAGGGGCCAGTCCTGGTTCAAATACAGGGATTACAGAAGAGTTCCAGAGAACCCACCTTTTGATAAATCTGTTTAGTGATTGTGAGGAAAGATTTCCCCTGAAATATGTGAACTCTGGATCAGACTTCAAATCCCAGAATTCCCTTATACTTTAAGATTAGGCAGGTACTTATGAGCTTAGTTTAATAGTTCTATATTAACTAGTTTAAGAGGTAATCATATGGTGAGGCATCCATGTGTGGAAGAAAACCATCAATTAGAGAGATCCCAGGAATCCTATAAGAAAATATTCACTACTGGGCTTTTCTAAGGTTTCAATGTTTTGGGTGCATGCTCAGCCCCAGCCCATCTCACCACAAGGCAACTGTGAGTGCTCCTTCCACTGGACCATAACAGACTGGCCTCTTTTATTACACTCTGGGATAGCTTGCAGTGCACAGTCTAGCTAAAAAATATAGATATATGAGGAAGCAGAACTGTGTAACAAGGCTTTCCCTTGGTCTTCTGTTGTCTGCAAGCCTTTCTGTCTGACCCACAATGTCATGTTTCAAAGCCCTGCTTCATTAGGGTGGCGCCTGCAAGCTGCTGTTTAGGGTCTGTTAGCAGCCCCAGCATAAATCCCCACTTCCATGAGTTTATAATTCAGCAGTAAAACATTGCTCTAGGCTGGAACTTGGCATATAAAGTCTCTCAGGAACAATTGTGATTTCTCCCTCCTTTATTTTTGCATTTACTTATACACACACATGATTCAGTCAGGAGGTTTTTACTGTCCCCTTCCTGCATTTAAAAAGATTAAATGGCTGGGTTATTAATAGTTCAATTCTGACTACTGTGCTGGGCCAGTCCATGTATCTGCAGTTTACCAGCTCTATTTGATGGATGCAGGTCTCTGTTCCACAAACCTGCTCCAAGCTTAGTGCAAACAGCCCAATGTGGACCAGCAATGATTGTTTGGCTGTTAATTAACATGGGCTCCAGTGTTAATTAAAGCTGTGTCCAGGTCTGGGATGCTCTGGGCATGGTGTCCTGAGCTTGCTGCTGGCACAACTAAAACCCTGTGTTCCCTGGAAGAACATGGCAAGGGCTGAAACCATGAGACCATGCCTGACCTTGGCATGGTTTGATCTCAGCTCATGATCCTATACAGAGATATTGCTGGGAGATCTTCTGATGAGATAAAGATTTGGCTGAAATCATCCTCCCAGCTCAACTGTTTCCTCATCAATGAAATCAGTTATTTCCTCATGTTTCCCCTGGTTTTAATGAAATCAGTTATTTTTTCATGTTTTCCCTGGTTTACAGAAAGTTTTAGCATGGTAAAAGTAACTCAAGTTTACTGTTCCTAGAAATCACAAAAAAATTATATTTCAGCCTTATGGAAAATGTTATAGTAACTTCTATTTTTCTTCAACATTAGGATATTTTTATAGGCTATATAACATGTTTGTACTGTAAAATCCTGACAAATAAATAAGAGAGAACAGCAATTTCTAAATATATAATATAGACTGCAAAAGTTAAAAAGGAGATTTTACAAGAATGAAATGCTTTAAGTCTAAGTGGTTTTTTTTTTTCCCTTCCAGAACTTATTTTAGACATTTGTTTCTGATCTAGGTTTTGGTCACAGTTAAATCATATAATTTCCCACAATTCCCAGAAAAAGCTTGCTATGCACAGTATTTTTTTCCACACTTGTTCCGTGCACAGGTGTTTGCAAATTCAGGATATATTTCCATTAGCATATTGGACAGCAGTAATTCATCAGTGCAATGTCCTCATTACTATGGAATTGAGGCACTCCCTGGACCTTCTCATCTCTTTTCCAATTTCCTCCCACTTATATTTAATTTATAAAGGCAGCCCCAGGAAGATCAGTTCTCATTAGTATGAATATGATAGATAATACATGAGTGTTGCAGGAGGTTTGACCAGGTGCTAAGCAGGGCAGTGTGAGTGACTGGAAAGAGGCAGCAGGTACTTTCAAAGGCCCTGTATTGCTTTATAGCAGATTGAAATTTGGCTTTATTATTTTATCTTCTGCTGGGTTATAATCCCACCTCTTTGCTCTAAACCAAGAGGGTTTTAATTTCCTGTATGATTTTTTTCCCCCCTGAGAACACCGACTTTACACAAAAAGGCTCAATATGGTTTTTTCCATGCATTTTCTCTTTAATACATGAGGAATAAATGAAATTCTCTCTTCATTTACTCAGCATGGCATACATCCTAAAGACACTCAACAGCTGGTTCTGGTGGGAGAATATCTGGATGCCCATCAACTGCACATGGGCAGATTTTGTGGACCGTGAGGGACTCGTGTTTCCCAAACCCCATCAGCTGTACGCCACAATCCCGTACGCTTTCGTGCTGCTCATCATCCGCTTCTTCAGTGAGAGGTAAGAAACTGAAATGCAATTCATCCTCATTCATGCTGAAAATGAGGTATCTCTAGATCAATGTCATGTTTTATAAAGGAGGATTAGTTGGTGGTTTACTGGGAAGATCTAGTACAGACAACACAGCAGGTGAAAAATGGGAAAATATTTTCATTATTAGGTATGTGTGGCTGTGGTCCAATCCAGAAGAGAAATATTTCTATCTAGCTTTTCTAGAACAGCATTTGGATGCTTCTGATGATCTTCTTTCCATTCTAAACCATTTGGGCTTCCTTTTTCTCTTTCAGTGGAAGGCTAGAGAGATTTGTCCTCTCAACCAAACCTCTCGTTTGGTCCTGCACCAGAACATTCATGTGATATTGATAGACCCCAGGTGTCTCTCTTTGGCCAAGCTAAGCAGACTGGAGGGATCTCAAAGCTTCATGTGAACATTTTATGCAGATCTAGTAAAGCTGGTTGCTTTTTTTTCTCCTCTCTTTGGCACCAAAAAGTGAATTGCTTCTGCAGCTGGAATCTTGGGGGGCAGGCAGATGTTGGCTCCACAGAAAAAAGCTACAATCATATTAAGATTTGCCGTGTTTTGACTTATTTATTTATACCTTTTTTGCTTTACTTTCTTTTTTTTTTCCTCTAAAAGATGTGATTCGTAGGTTTTTATAATTATTTCAGGACAGAATGAGGAAATTTGGAATGTCGTAAGTTGGACAGACTTAAACCAGAAGCAGATAAGATCATTCATGCTGGAAATGAAAAGTAATTTGGATCATATGTTCATAACCATTGCCAGTGTGTCTCACTGCAGTGCTGAGGGTAATTAGCCCACACATCTGGCTGCAGTGAGTCTGGGGAAAGCTGACCACTGCTCTGAGCAATGAGGAATCCATGGCTGATAGAGCAGGAGGGAGGGGCTGTTCCTGAACACCCTGCCCAAGCAGGAAGGTGAAATCTTTGGAGCACTTTGCAGTGATTTGGGGTGGAAAAGGGAGGGAAAGAGAATCCATCAGTCTCAGGGAATGGCTGTGTGCCACAGGCTGGATCCAGCATTGATCTGTGCTGGTGGCCCAGTGAAGAAGGTGCCAAGTGACTTTGCCACTGGAGGAACTTGCCCAGCATCAGTCCCTGAGCTCACATGGGACAGCATCTGCTCTCCTTTCACTCAGCCCCAACACTCCTCTGATGACCACGAAAGTCAGGATGTTTCCTTGAGTTTAACAGCATCTCATGGCCACAAACTGCATTCCTTGGGTCTTCTTTATTGTATAACAGCTGATAAATTGTGGTTCCCTCTTGGGATTAGCTAGGGGAGATCCCTTTTTCTCAGTGCACTGGCAAATTCTATGGCAGATTAAATTGCATCTGATTTGTTTTCTTTGTATCATGGCATGAGAACAGCCAAGGTCTTGTAACTGTGTTGTATTTCTAAAGCTTTTCCTGCTGTGTTTTTTCAGATATGTTGCTATACCTTTAGCAAAAGCCTTGGGTATAAAGAATGTAAGACGTGTGAAGCCACAGCCTAATCCTGTGCTAGAGAGTTATTTCCGGGAGTGCTCAAGACAACCATCCCAAGTAAGGATTCTCATTCTTCCAAACTCATTTTACTTTTGGAAAATCCCACTCTTACTGTTTCAATCAGCTCTCAGCAATGACATCATGGGATGAGTTCCAGCTGATTGACAGATGACTTAATTTATTTGGGTTTTTGTTGCTGTTCTGCTGACAAGGGTATATGGCATCCGAAACAGAAAATACATTTAAGATGTTTAATTTTCTGGCACGCTGTTCTAGGCTAGATTGTTAATAATATTTCCAGTGAAGATTAGTGTTCCATCTTTAACTCATTCTGCCTGGAGAAAGCTTCAGCTGATGTCTGTTGTTGGAAAGCAGGATTGTATTTACTGCAGGAATGCTGGCACGGAAGCCTTTTGATCTGTTATGTTACTGCATACTTAATCCTGGCTTATGTGAGAAAGAAAAGCAATCCTTCTATTACCCTGCTGTTTGTTTTTAAAATTGAACAAGGAAAAAAGACTAGCCAATGCTTGACACCTCCAAAAATGAGGCCATTGATTTTTTTTATGGGAGGCAGGTACTTTGCTGTGAGTGCTGCCTCAGGAAGTTCCCTTACCTGACTACAGTTCCCAAACAATTGCAGTTTTCCTACACTGGTTTTGAAAAGAAATATTTGCTTTCTAGTAATGAGGGATTTTGATAATTATTGATAGCGGAACTTGGCATTCTATCCCTAACTCTGCTATTCTTTTATTGTGTCTTTTGCCTGATAACATCAGGAATAAATGCATGGGTGTTCACACACGAGCTCCTCTCTCTCTGGGCAAGTATCCCAATCTCAGTTTCATTCCTTCCTTCTGCTTGAGTACAGCTGGACACTTGATTTCTGGAAGGAAGCACAGCATTTTTAGAGTCCTCAGAGCATGGGAAAGATTCAAGCTGCCTCGTTCAGGTGTCCAGCCTGGGGGCCAGTGTGCCTGGGAAAGGCTGGCTGGCAGCTGAGGGCACGTGGGCTCTGCTCTATGGACACAGAGTCGCTATTCCTGCGTGGCAACTGGAGAGCTGGGAGCCAGCAGGGTGGGCTGGACACGGTGGCTGTTTGCACTCCAGCCCTCCCTGGCAGATCAGGTGCCTTTTCTCACATTCCAGAGGTTTCCCTGAGGGTAGGAGACTCCCTGGACTGGCCTCACCTCGGTGGAGGCAGCTGCTGCCACCCACTGTTTGCATACTTCCCTTGGGAGCAAAGAACTTCCCCAGAGATGAGCCAAACACTCTCCTTGCTCCTGAGGCAGCCCTGGGAGGTCAAACCACACTTCTGCACTTGGGGATGGAGGAGAGGGAGGAAGGCCACGGGCTGCTGCATGTGGGGCACTGAGCTCCCCAAAGTGCAGGAGTGTCACTGCCTTGTGCTGGGCACGTGCTGGCCTGGCCACCGTGGGAGCTCAGGGGATGCAGGGACCCCAGTGTGGCACCCCCATGGCCATGTGCAGTTCTAGGCCCTGATCCACCCCCAGTTTAGTTCTGCTGTTGGAGGGGGGCACTCTGCACCTTGCTCAGGAGGATAGATTGACTTTGAAAACTGAGGATTTGAGAACAGAGCTCAGGTCACTTTAATTCCAGGCCACTTCTCATCTGTGAGATTCATAGATAAACAAATTTTAATATTTATGGTTAGGTAAGATATTAGGTGCCATGTCCACGTCTGTTCAATCATGGCACCTCCCCCTCCAGCCTAAGCTCTCATCTAAGAGTAAAAGTTCTATCTCTGAAACTCTCAGGAGTGACCAGAAAGACAATAGCAGTGTTTGTGAATCTGTTCATTTCGTGCCTGCATTATTTACATGAAAAAAAAATCCAGGGTTTCTGTGGGCATTACTCAAAAATACCCTCCTGTGCATATTTAATATTGGTAATATTTTTAAATTAAGACCTTGCAACAGTGGGAAGCTGCTCTGTGAAGTACAAAATAAATGAAAATTACATTGGGGTGCATCTCCTGTTAACACTGTTCCATTTCTTGCAGTCAGAGATCAAAGGCCTTGCCAAGAAGTGCAACTGCACCGTCCACTTGGTGGAGAAATGGTTCAGGAGGCGGCGAAACCTGGAGATCCCAACCGTGCTCCGGAAATTCCAGGAGGCTTTGTAAGGAAAGACAATGCCTTTGGTTATCACTGCTGTCCTCTTCTGGAAGAAAATTATTGAGGTCCCCCCTTTCCAGAAGGCTGGGTCTGCCTGATGGGGCTTTTGGTTTCTGAATGCACAAAGTTGAAATTATTTAGTAGCAGTTCTCCAAATGATGGTTAAAAGTTTAGGTCAACTGTTTCTCCTGGGGAAAAAAAAAACAACCTTAAAATATTTTACGGGTTTTTTCCTTGTGGAATAATGGATTTGTAGGCTCCTGGTACAACATGTAAGATGAAAACAGGCAGAGAATATGAAAATATTTTCCTGTCTGCCAGTAATCATAGGGGAACAACAATGCTTACCCTGGGGTAAGTTTGTACCCATGCTGTCATTTTGGGATGCTGTCATGTGTACCAAAGTCAGTTCCAGAGCAGGAATTGTGGCATCCAGACTGAAGGACAGGTGCCACAACTTGATCATGGGATACTGTGTGAAACAGAAACTCAGAGTCCCTGCTGAGAGTGGGCCAGTGAGCAGCTTTGAGTGACAGTAATGAATATGTAAGAAGTTTCAAAACCTCCTGCATATGATTTTTCACTGATGTGTGAGAACTTCCTCATACCTAAACACTTTAAGTGTGATCTAAAATCTCACACAAATTGCAAATCCCCAAATGGGCACAGCTCATCCCTTTTGGGCACTGACATGAGCTGTACCAGTGTAAAACACTTTCAAATGCTCTGTGTATTTGGCTTTGCATTAGCCTAATTACATTTGCAAAACTTCACCTGATTATAATATTGAACCTCTGTAACTGTAGATCAGTTTAAGGCATGAGGGTTAAAAGTACAGCACAGAGCTTAAAGTTAAGTACTTTATCAAGATTATTTCCAGTGTTAATCAATGTGATGATGATGATTTAGTGGTGTCCTCAGTCAGATATAAATCCAGATGATAGACAGAGGTGTGTCTCTTTGAAGTCTGAGCTGAGTAAACTCTCCTGCCATGGTTTATGTCTGCTGTTGTTTTGGGGATCAGTTAGTTTGGTTCCAGAAGTGACAATAAGATTTCCTGCTCTTGCTAAAAGACCTGCCTGCCATGTGTGCCAGTCTCTAGTAACACACAGCTAAAGACTGAAATTCCAACTTGCTTGGCAGCTTGAGCGAGAATGAAGCAAGCAGGTTTCTCTTGTGCAATTTTGTGAACCTTGCTCTGCTCTTTGTCAGTGAATTTAATTGAATATAATTCTCTAGGCAAAAAAATGAGGAACAGAGTTATTCCACTCTAATAGTCAGTGTTATGAGCGTTATGAAATTTTTTGAAAGCCTGCAATCTCCAGGATCTTTTTTCTGAATCACAAGGAAAATCTGATGAGCCAGATCTAAACCATACTTATGCTATTAGTGCTCCCAGTTAAGCAACCCTGGGGTTTGGAAAGCCCTTTGCATGAAACTTCACTGCCTTGTAAGATTTACCAGCCTTTAACTTCCCCTACCAAGTTCCTTTTTGTTACATTCACTTCAAGAGAAAAGATTCCTGAAGTTAAACCAGAAAATCCTCTTGCACCGTTCTTGTTCAGTGCTCTCTCTGGTGGCCAGGATCAGAGTTTAAGAGGCACTTGAGTAAAATTTGGCAAATTTGGATGAGTTTTACTTCATGTTTTATTCACCAAATTCATAAAGAAGCTGGGCTCAGTGCAAAATGAGGCAGTGCTCTGGCAGCCTTGCACACAGAATGAGTTCATCTGAAGTGCTGTTTATGGCCAAATGCATTCAATATATAAAATATATAATAGGCCTGGGGACTAATGGCACAGTCTTGTAGGTACTCTGTTCTTTGGATCCTATTCAGAAAACCCCACTTGCACTTTACAACCAACACAGAATCAATTCTGCCATATCCACTGGCCACTCACACCTTGTTTGCAATGGGAGGCATGAGGGCACAAGCAGCTGCTGTGTGAAGTCTGTCCTGTGCCAGTGTTGTGTTTTCCAGCACCTCTTGGTTAACTCTGAGCCAGGTATTCCTTGTGGGCTCCACTCTGCAATTTCCACCATGTCCCTCTGTGCTTCTCCTGTTCATGCAGTGCTTGTTGTGTAGTGTTATTTTCAAATCATCTGAGGGAAGATAGTTTAAAGTTGAGAAGAAAAACAGTTGTTTATCACATGTGTATCAAGTGGCAATTTTATAATTATTTTCATTATTTTCCTGACTTCTTTCTCAGGTGTGAGACAATTTATTTTGTCTCACCTCCAACATCCCACATCCTCATTTTTGTTTGTTGTTTTTCTCATAAAACACTGTCTCAGCCTTTGAAAAATCTCATTCTTTCTCCTGGAATATCATCTTCCAGGGGATGTGGGGCTCAGAAAGTAAGGGCTGTTTTTACCACACAGGTTCTCCTCCTCTTCTCTCATTTGGCACTTCATTAAAGCTTGCCAAAGACTCCAATGTCATTTTCTACATCTCTCAATCCACTGGTACGGTGTTCTTGTGGTGCTTTCTCCTTTTTGAGTTGTCTGGGAGTTGCTTGCTTCTCTCCTCTGGAATACTCTGGTTCTAGAAGTTCTCAGCAGCTCTGGGGCCCTGTGCCTGTCCCTGTGTCACAGCCTTCCTTTGCTGTGAAGTCCTGCACTGTTTCCTACTGGACTTGCAGAGCTGCTCAGGGGAAAGGTCAGGCTTGGCCTGCCCAGGGGAAGAGTGGAAAGGAAGGAGTTTTCCATCACCTGTCGAGGTGGGAGTGGGAATGCTTGGGCTGAGGCTGCAGCCACACCCAGTGCTAGGGACAATGCCTCCCACACGGGCTCCAGAGTCATCAGCACTCCGACAGCAGCCTGCTCTGCCACCCGAGAGCAGCAGCACACTTCACTGAGATGCTCAAGAGCTTTTTCCCTTTGCTGAGTTAGCAAGCTGATGGTGCAAAGCTGGAAGGTTTATCTGCCTTGCTGGATATCCATTTAATCTACAAAAAGCTTAGATCAGGCTAAATTCTGGCACACCTAGTCAAAGATGAGGTTATAGTTAATTGAGACCTTGTAGCAAGATTTAGACTAACCCAGTAGATTCTAATAATTCATAAGGCTCTCCTGTTGTCAGCAATTGGTGTTGAGAGAGATGAAGTGAATGAACCCAGGAAAAGGTTTCTGTTCTCAAACATTAATTTTTAGGGGATTTATTACGCTTTTTGTGGTCATTCTCTTGATCAGTTCAAGCCTGGCTGGAAAATTACCGCTATCATGACAATTCAAATATCTGTATTGTGATAATGTAAAAGAATTTCCTTATTTAGCAGTGAATCAAACCTTAAATATTTAAGTGCTAATAATTCAAATACAGTTAATATGTGTCTATCCTTAACATTGAGTGTGAGGCCACATTTATGTGAAGATTGTTTGTGATGTACAATGATCTGTACTAACTGTGGCTCAGGACAATATCTTTACAAAATATAATGGTTTGTTCCTATTTTTTCATTTCAATTTTGCAGCTGGCGATTTTCATTCTATCTGACATCCTCCGTTGTTGGATTTATATTTCTGTATGATGTAAGTTAACTTTTTGAAAGATTGATACTTTATTTAAACAAAATAATTTCTAGATTTTCTTGAATCGCATTGAAAGACTGTGAATTCAATGGCTCTGTGGGATCAGATCTTTGCCGTATGTAATCTGGATGATGGGCTGCATTATGCACTGAGATTTAATTTTTAAGTTAAACTTTAGACCTTCTATGACAAAGGAATTTATGAGTAATCAGTGTTTTTAAGGCAAGCTTGAAGAAGTCACGCAGATGGTTTTACAACATGCCTTGTTAACACCTACAAATGCATCACATGGCCATGTTTTCCTCAGAGGACGCCATAAACTTTTTTTGGCAGCACTTTTGGTGGTCACAGCTATTTACTGAGGTGTTGCTGCTGAGTCAGAAGTTTGGAATAGCAGAGATTGGTGCTTGTGAGCCCTGCCTGGGGTGTCATTAGTGCTTCCCCAGGCAGCGGAACAGATCCCGGCGTGTCTCTGCTCATCTGGCCCTTGTCCCCAAACACTGCTTCTCATCCTCATCCCCTGCTCTGTGTGACTGGTAAACACAGCACATCTAATCACTGTGGCAACATATCTTGAGTAATTGCAGTAATAAAACACACACCCACTGCTTTGGATGATGAAATTGTGAACTGGAACGTTTCAGGTGTCCTGAAGAGAAGCCAAAAAGCTGGGAACAATATAATAAATCTGAGCTGCAAGCTCCCTTTAGAAATTGGTGGAGAACAGTTATCAAGATTACAGCTTCTTAACCTGCTCCACTTAGAGAGAGTTTAAGTAGTGAAGATTTTGAGTTAAGGTGATAATTGTTGCTGGGCTGAGCAGTGTCTGACTGAGGTGTCTTCCCCAGAAACCCTGGTTTTACGACATCTGGCAGACGTGGGTTGGTTATCCGTTTCAGGTGAGTTTTTTGGCACCGGCCCAGTGGCCTCCAGGCATTCCAGGTATTTCCCCATTGGAAGGGATAATTTACAGGGGCCTTTTCCCTCCACACGGGCACCACCCACAGAGGTGTGGCACCAAATCCTGCCCTTTTCGGGAAGTGCTGCCGACTGCTGCGGGACTTCCCTGGGATCTGCCTGTGCTGCAAGTTCCCCCTGCAGCCCCCACCCCGGGACACCAGTTACTCACTGCAGATGTTATCAGTGCTCCCAGATTGGGTGCAGAACCCCTGCACTGCTCCAGGCCCCACCGTGCTTCAAGGCACTCTTATTGAAATAACTCTGCCCCATCCCGCTGCCTTCCTATTCCTGTCCTAGGCAGGGGCCAGGAATACAAATAATCCTGCCTCCAGCTGAGCTTTCCCAGCTCCTGCTACGCACCTGGGAAATGTACTGACCCAAGGGAGCAGCCCAGCTCTGCTCCCCCCTGGGCAGATCCATAGGATTTAAACATAAATAATTGACATTTCAGTCTATTATGTTAATTGTTCGCCAAAACCGAGGGGGTTTATTTGCAGTTGTTTGTAATTAAATGCAGAAGGATTCGGCATGTAGTTCTGTGACAGAAACATGGAGAAAAAGCATGCTAAAATCCAGAGGTGGGGGAGGAACTGTGGGAATTGAGAGTTTGGGCTGAGCAAAGGTTAACGTACTTGGCTCTCAGAACATCCTTCTTAATGAAGCCCAGGACAGGAATTTAATTTAGCCTAATTTTTTAAGCAAGAATCACCAGAGGAGCAGAAGTCAGGAAAGGAAAAAAGAAGTAATCTCACTTGACATCTACTTTTTCCTGTTCTCAGAGTTCACTGTGTTTTTCCTCATCACAGACCTTGCTGCCATCCCAGTACTGGTACTACATGGCCGAGATCGGCTTTTACTGGTCTCTCATATTTACCCTTGGCATTGACATCAAGCGGAAGGCAAGTGCTTGTGCCTGTCGGTGCTTGGTGAGCGGGGAACGGGAGCGGCAGCGCCTGGAGCGGGTTTGGCGCAGCCACGGGAGGGCAGCATCGCCCCGCACAGCCCCGGAGCCCCGCACAGCCCGGGGGGCTGCCCGGCCAGGGACCCCCAGGGGCTGGCATTCACCTCGATTTCCCTCTGTCCCCCCCAGGATTTCAAGGCCCACGTCGTTCATCACCTGGCAGCCATCGGGCTGATGAGCGGCTCTTGGTGCGGCAATTACGTGCGGCTTGGAACTCTGGTGATGTTCGTGCACGACACGGCCGATTTCTGGCTCGAGGTAACCCTGCTGTCCAGCTGGTTGGATTTTTTTTAATTATTATTTTTTTTCTGTCCTGAGTTTTTTTGGTTTTGGTGTCAGCGACATTTTAATCTTTCTGCCACGAGTTTCATATGATCCCTTCCTATCCCTGCAGAGACACAGCTTGGCAGATTTGTAACTTGTAAGATAAAAAAGAGCTTCTAGATAATTTAAGCTGATACTTTGTTACACAATACATTACGAGAAAGAAGCAGAAGAGAATTTCCTCAGAACAGAACAGGGACTGGAAATAAAGCTGCTTCCCTGGGTTATTCGTGTTTCACTGATAAAATTAGACCAGGTTGTCACTGAGGCTGGAAAAGACCTCTGACATCAAGTCTAACCTGTATCAGGTATTTTCTGGCAGAAGAAAAGTTTATTCTCCTGGACTGAAGGGAAAGTCCCATCCCTGCACAAAATATCAGTGGCAGTGTTTAAGAAGTGTCCTGCTCTGCACAGAGCACTGTGATCAGAGTGGCTTCTGGGCTTTTTGGAAGACACACACAGTGTTTCTTCACTAGAATTACCCTGAGTTTGTAACACCAGGTTTGAGGGCACAGTTTCATCACCTCCTTTGGTGGCAGTGCCAGTGTAAGCAGCCCTTGTGGGCTGTTGTGTGCCACTGTCCATTTAATTTCTGTTCCTGATTATCTTACTGTATCAGAACAACTAATTGTGGGGTTGTGCACTTGGGATTGGTCCAGATTAAACAGGTTTTCTTGCTGGTTTACTTTTAATCCTGAATTGCTCCTAGGTCCAATTAACTCTGTGGCCTTACAAAGAGTTGAGTTGACAACTGGTAGGACAGCACTTGGATGGAAACTGGAGTTGAGTACCAGAACAATTTAATCCAGCCCTGCCACTCAAAAGGAGGAGGAAAAGAAAGGAAGTTAATCAAGCTGCTGTTTAAAACTTAGGCTTGGCACCTGCAGCTTTGCTCCCACTTTGCCCAGGGTGGTTCCTAATGGAGCAGGGGGAGCTGGACAGTTCATTTAGGGGAGAAGCAGCACTTAGAGCCCTTATTAGTGGGATAGAGACCAGCACTGAGATCTCCTGCTCTCAAAAAGGAGAAGCCAGGAGCTGAATCAGGCCCTGAGCAGGGTCAGTAACAGGCATGTCCCAAACACCTGCATTTCAGGGGTCTCCTGAATGTGCAGGTGTAGCAGCAGCTTCTCTTGGGATTCAGTCTGTTTGGAATCTGGTGGAAAAATGAGGAATTATCTCTGTTCTAAAGAGCACTTTGTGTTTCCATGACACTTTATATTCTGGTCTGAGTGCTGTTCTTTAGGCCTTTGATGCAAAGTCCTTTCCTTCAAGATAAAAAGAGAAATGTAAACAAAGAATCTGGTCTGATGGTGCTTTATTAGGTATCAGTAAAATGATTGCTTTACATGTCAAACTGGGAAGAAATACTCTTCCTGCCTAGGTGGAAGATGAGTCTTTATTTATGAAAACACAGAATTTATTTCAGAGAATATTTATAATATGTTTGGGGATTTTTATCCACTGCAGGCAGCCAAAATGTTTAATTATGCTCGCTGGGAGAAAACTTGCAACATACTGTTCATCATCTTCTCTATTGCATTCTTCATCACCAGGATGATCCTGTTCCCCTTCTGGTAAGCAAGATTTAATCCAGTCCCAGGCTTTTGCTTCACTCTCACTCCCCCTGAAAGTTTAGTGCTGGTTCTGATGGAAAAAGGAAAGGAATGGACTGGACTTGAAAATTCTGTTAGTGAGAAAATTGACAAAAACTGCCGTTTTCTTTAAAAATTATTATGTAAAAATAATTTTAAATGAGCCTCTTTAAATAAAAGCTTTTATGTGTTATGTAACTTGCTTTGTAAATAGCAGTTAAATGCTACTAGCCCCTGCATTTTCAAGGGGACTGAGCTCCTTAACTAAGAGAAATCCTTTTCCCTTTCATTCCACCCTTTCTGCTGTAGTTGCAAAGTCAGAGTACATGACTCTAGTTCATTTTTTAGAGCCTTCTTTCTGCTACCCAGTCCTTGGGTAGTGCCTCACCTCACTCACATGAGGAGCCCTCAGAGAAGTTTAGGTGAACCAATTAATTTATGAAGTCAGCACAAATAAATCTTAACTTGCTAAATACTTGCATGCCTTTGGAGTGCTATGATTTAATCTGCTTTGGAGTATCCACATGGGTGCTTAACATGTTTATCTTTTAAAAAGTGTTTAATGTGTTTCACATTCACAGCTCTAATTTGCCCCTCCCTGCACATGGACAAACCCTTAGAGACTCAGGCTGGTTAAATTAATAGTTCTGAACATTGATCAACATAAGGCTTTAATTTCCTGTAGTATTTTCTTTCAGAAATGCTGATGTCTTTTACTTTATTGTTGTTTTTTTAATTAACTGTACAAGCGATCTGCAATCATTTTGCTTCACTGAGTTTCTTGTTCTTCAGTTCTTGAGCTTGGAAGTGAAACACGATGAGATTAAAGGGACTCAAAGAGCCCCAAATAATACAGAAGTAGTGAAGTCTGAAGATGGACAAAACATATGTTAATTAACAAAAAGCCCTGTTGCAAAGCCTCTAGGATTTTCTCTGGAGTGTGGATTTCAGATTAGAGAGAATTTGCACTAAAAAAGGCATAGGCAGGCTCTGAGCTGCACAGTATCTAGACCACACAGAGATGGAGATCTGAAAAACAGGGATTTTTTCTAGCCTCACTTAGAGTACTTCCATGCCAGACTCAAATTTCTCATCTTCTGAAGTCTGTATTTCAACAGAGATGCATAATCTAGTTAAGGCAGGGCTTGTTAATTAATCTACCATCTTTGCAGAGCTTTTTAATAATAATCAGCTTGGAATATGAGATTAGAAATAAGTGTAAATAGCATAAGGAAGAGATCTTGCACCATAACAATAATCTTTGTTTTTCAGGATTCTTCGTGCCACACTATATCTGCCTACCTACTACTCCACCACTCCTGTCATAGCATATTTTTTATTCAATGGGATGCTATTAACCCTCCAAGGCTTGCATTTATATTGGGGTTACTTAATTTTCAAAATTTTGAAAAGGTTCGTTTTCCTAAAGGTAAGAAATTTTTTTCTTCAGAAAAATAGGTGAAATATCAAACAGATGCCAATACCTCCAATTGATTCACTTGGAATTTTATTGTTATCCTGAGTTTTTAAGTCAGAATGTCTGATAGGGATCTGCAGAGCAGGGAGATGTTTAAATGTGCTTTGCACCTCTCATTGTCACACCCAATGTCTTGGTTGGAATACAAAGACTTCAGCTAGAACGAGGTACTTTGCCTGTATTTGATGTTTTTTACCAATAGTAAATGAGAAATGAGCTGTCCCAAAACCTGAAGCCCTAAAATGGTCCAGAACTCCTCAGGAATTCCTGTGTTCTGAGTGAAAGCAATCTTTTGTCACTGGGCTTTGTAGGAACTTACCAAAAAAGAAGTGAGTGAGTGATAAGAGCTTTGACTACAATTTTTCTGCAGTATTTGAATTTCTTCAGATTTGCCTAAATCTGAGGTCACCTAAACTTGAGCACTGGTTTTGGATCACAAAAACCAAATGAAGCATATCTGGTATTATATTATGACTCAATGAAATAGTGTCATATTCAGCTGGAGCAGAGGAACAGTGCAAGTCTGGTCTGCCTAATCTGCTTTTACCTTGTAGAGAAAACTCACATGGGAAAAATCTCTGGACAAAACTGCCGTTTATGTCTCATTTGATTGCCTGAAGTAGTGACATTTTCACAAGGTCTTGTGCCATGAAATGTGCAGGGTAGATAAAATATTTATCAAAAAGCATTTAAGGGAAGGACTCTGGAGAATGTCTCTAGGATTTGGCACAAGTATTGACAGATATATTTTTCTAGTTAAGATGAAATTTTAGTTGTGCTGTTGAAATTTTTTTTTTTCTGAGGCTCAAGAAACAAAAACTTAATTAAACTGACTGTCCTTTTATCTGAAGCAGTTCAGGCTGTGAAGCATCTTTAGGAAATAGAAATATTCCTTTCTCCCTGTGTTTAATTGTTGAGTGCTAACAGGAACCATCCTGTAATTATTGGATTTTTGGATTCCATCAAATCTTACACAAACACACAGCTGGGTGTCATAGAGAGACCCAACATCTGCCCTAGAAGTTACAAATTCAACCCTTGTAAGATGGCAAACAGCAGCACAGAAGGGACAAATCTGTGGAGGAAATGGTTTGTGTTGCTGTGCCTCTAAAACAAGATTTTATGTTCCCTTAGACACTGAGAATTTTGTATTTCTTGTGTCTCATTTACCTCTGCTTGAATAATTACTACATTGTTTCTGGCATAGGTGTAAAGTGCTTTACTTCTTGCTTTCTTTTGTGATTTTGGCCTTGTCTCTGTGCTGTTCTTGCTCCCTGTGCTCAACCCCTCTTCAGAATGGAGAGACATCCCTGTGCCTCCCAGCTGAGGAAGAGGAAGGCTGGGCAGAGCTCTCCATCCACACTGACTGAGGTTCACAGAAGGTGTCAGATGCAGGGGTGAGCAGGACATTGCCAGGCCAGCTATATAAGGCCACCCTGCCCTGCCTGCTCTGTGCCTTTGTAAGGGGCAGAAATGTTTTATTTTGAGATAAGAGCTTTGCTGTGTTCGTCACTGCTAAAAAATGGGAAAGCACCAAGCCTGCATCCCTACCACGGATTTTTGATTCCTTATACAGCTCTCTGAGAAGATGGTTTCCAAATAACATTTTTACAGTGGTAGCAGCAGCAGCCTGGGCCCTTTTCAGTCTGGATGACTTCAGCTGGCTTGCATGTGCAGCCTGTTTTCCATAGCAGTGGCAAACTTGGCTGTGAAAGCAGCCAGTGCCTCCAGAGCTGGAAAGGCAATGTTGAAAAGAATGGTGTTGGCAAGGAGGGTTTTTATACCAACATCTTTGTTACAGACAGGCTGCACACAAATAGCTGCTGCTATTTTAGGGAAATACCAGTAGACCATCATTCTGGTGTTAGTAGGGGTTTGTTTCTCTGCCCAAGACTAGCTGTTTTCTGAATGAAAACTTAGCAATTTCTGATATTTTTCTTGAAGCAACAGTTAGCTACTTCAGATGGAAAAATGAAGTCATGGTGTAACTGGGAATAGAGACTTCTGTTGTTTAACTGAAGGCAGCTCTGAGCATAGAAGGGTGTAAGGAAGTTTTTCAGTGCCCTCTTGTGCCTCAGTCCTGGAGTTTTGGGGTCACTGCACCCTCGAGAGTTGATGGCTTCTTCCATGCTTTCCTCTTGCCCATGAGGAGAAGATTTTCATTGAGAGTGGCTGGTCAGAAGCTCTTCATCTCAGCTGTCACCTCCCCCTGCACTGACCGAGGGGACAGTTGCCCTCAGCCCTCTGGGACAGCTGCTCAGCCAACTGACTTGCTTCAGCAAAAAAGAGCTTGGACTAAAAGTCTTGTGGTTTTCCTCCTCCCAAATACTGCAGTGAGAGATGGCTGAAAATGAGGGAAAAGGAAAAAAGGGAGATGATCTTCTGCCATCCCTCTGTGTCCTGTTTTCCCAGCCATGGGACTCTGCCCAGGGACTGGTGGCACAGAGCAGCACTGGTGGCCTCCAGGCTCAGGGGACTTGTGCCACCTTTCCCTTGGTGCCCTGGGAATGCCCTAAAAATGGGGAGTTCTCCATCCACAAGCTCAGCTGTAATCAGCTACTTCACATTAGGAAACTTCTAATTTTCCATAGGGGTAAACTTGAGGGTTCAGAATTTTTTTTCTTTATTTTTTCCCTCTGGAAAATAGAAATGTTCCCTAAATGTCCTTTCTCATGTGACATTTGGGACCTTGTGTATGAGTAAGGCCTGTAAGCAAAGCCCTTTGAGGTCAGACCTGTAGCCATGTACCAGTTCTGCTTTGGGAGGAAGGAGGGCATTCTTCAGTGTAATTTCTTTTCAAGTTAGGTCAGGCAATTGCAATGTTTGCTGCTGGCTGCCATCTTGATGTCCAAGGCCGTTTGTTGCTAGGAAACTCCGTGTGTTTCTGTAATATTGTTCAATTACATGGTTAAATTACCCACTTGTATCAAGTTTCAAGCACCACTGAAACATGTCTAGTCATCATGTCTGCACATATGAGAATATTTTAGGAAAATTGAAAAAGCATATAGAGAAGTATGTACATATGCACTGATTTAAAACATCTCGCCAGGAAAATCCCGTGGAGATTAAACATTTTATTTCCAAGGTCAGAAAAAGGGAGTGAATGGCAGCAGCTTATAGCCACATTATTATGGCAAATTAAGACGTAAAATATATGTTAAACCCATTACACACTGAGTTAAGGTTTTGAGACTATGGTGCTTTAAATCTTGAAAAATGTGTAAGTTGTAGGAAATGGGCATGATGTCCACATGTCTCAGATACTTCAGGGCTGATGCAAAGTCCATCAGTGGAGGGTAATGGCAGGTTTCTAACAGACTGTAATGTGTCCAGGAATAGGTTTTCCTGCTCTTGTAATTGTTTTGCCACCATCAGACCACCTTCAGGGAAGGCAGTGAGCTGCTCACTAATGGCTGCTGTTATTTGGGAGTCCTCAGCAGCAGTTTCCTTGGATTCACTGTGCTTTTTTCCTCTTCCTGAAGCAGAAAACACCCTGCACTGCAGTAGATCAGGATTTTGGACTTGTCACTCTTTTAAAACCTCTCCATGTTCAATATTCCTTTGGCATTTTGTGCTTGGTAAGCTTTTTAAAGACTGCTTGAGTGTATCCTTGTCCATGGTTTGTTCAGTCCTTATTTGGCCCAAATTCCCAAGGCAACAGTGAGAGTTAGTGTTCAATGAATGACTAAAAACAGAGTAGGGGAAACTGAAAATGATAAGAAAATACTATTTTGGGTTGAAATGAGAGCTGTGAAGTGCTTGTTATGATACTTCTGCTGTTCCTAGCCATCATTTTTCTACTGCAGCATTTTTCCTCTTACTTTTTTATGCTTGATCTGCTGGCATCAAACAAATGGAAATTTAATGAGAATTAGCACATTCAGTGAGAAGTAATTTCCTTTAGAAAATTGCCATACTACAGGAGTTAAACAGAGGACAGGGCTTATTTCCTAACCTAGTGGCACATAAGATTTTGTTTTCTTGTGTGTTTTGTCAGGCCTGTGCTGCCCAGTGGCTGTTGGGGTGCTGGTAAAACACACCTAGAGGTGCACTTGCCTTAATTCCATGTGGCTGTTTTGAAAGGAGCAATACATTTTAGAGGATATTGATAATCTAGTGAGTTACATTTTCATGACTGGGACTGGGAAGTTGTGGAAAAGCTTTTCCTGGATATTTTTTTGTTCCCTTCCCTGGGAAGTGCCAGTTCTGCTCTGGAGTTTGAGCTCTGTCATTGGAGAGTTGGCACAAACATAAGAAAGTTTGAACTAGATTAATAGGGGTTGCTTTTTCTCCATTTTAGAGGAAAACAGGTTGTGGGGAAGCTGGATTTTTTGGTTCTCAACAGATGAATATTTATAGCAGATTTTCTCATGAGGGTGGCTTACCAGAGGAACAAAATAGGCCAAATGAAAGCTTTCCCTCTTAGACATGAAAACCAGTCAATCTGTTGAGCCTTCCCAGTTGGTTGAAATGATTGCCCTGGGGACATGAGCTGTTTAATAGCCTGGAGATGGGAGTTAGCCAGCCAGGCCAGCAGCGTGGAGGCTCGTGCCCCAGTAAAGGGAAATTACTTCCTGCTATGACTTTCTTTCATCTGCATATTTCCCATTCTGCTGCAGCAATCTAGTTAAACCCAAAGCCTGGCTGCAAGTCTCACTTGATGGTGCCAAACTGATCCAGGGGAGGAGGATGGGAGGCAGGCAGAAGGAGCATGGAGGAGTTTGGGGGTTGCTGGATGGTATTTACAGTGGTAGGCAAAGAGCAGAGGAGCCCTGGAGTCAAGGCTGCCCCACACATGGGTGTTGTCAAAGTGCAGCCCAACAGAGCCTGTGAAAGAGGAAAAGCCACCAGCTCTTCTCCACTGTGCCAATCCAAGATCACTCTTTGGTCTCTGGGGCCTCAACCAGTTTTCCTGGCACTGGGAGGTAAAAGGCAGATTTCTGTTTAGA